TTTACCTCTGTAGGCACTCCCTGTACCAAAGGAGATTAGATCTTTTCCACATTTCCTGAGTTGCTGTGACCAGAAAAATCACTGAGTGAATGCACTTATACCTTTTGTCTTAGCTTCTAGAGAATAGCTAGTCTTTATTTTAATAAGGTTTGGGCAGCTAAGTTGCACAGTAAATAGAATGTCAGACCTGAAGTCAGAAAGACGAGTTCAAATCCAGCCTCAGACACTTATTAGCTTTGTGACCCTGGCAAATCATTAAACCCTTTCCCACCCCTCAGTTTCCTCATCTGTAGAATGGGGATAATAATAGCACCTCCCTCCCAGGGTTATTGTGAGGCTCAAATTAGATAATAATTGTAAAGTGCTTACAGTGCCTGGCACTTAGGAAGCTCTACTCAAATTTTAGCTGGTATCATTATTAGTATTATTAGTATTATTCGTAAAGTGTTTTGCAAACCTTAAAGTGATATATAAGTGCTAACTTTTGTTATCATAACGAGGAATACAATAGCTATTTTAACTATTTTGGGGAAAAGAAGAAAATCAAAGTAGAAATAGGACTGCTGCCTTGAATAGACAGGATAGATAATGATAGTGAATGAGAGAGAAGGCAAGAGCTACTCATCTCTTCATTTTATTCCCTTTTCTCTGCCAGGGAAAATGACCTTTGGTCTGGAAAAGTCATTTTGGTCTGAAAAGAACAAAAAATAGCTAATAAGGTCCAAGATAAGTAAGTAGAGATAGTAAGAGATCACTTAGCTGATCTGGGTGATTTCAGGCCATCAAGTTCAGATAAATTACATCCTAGGGTAACGAAAATGGCAGATGTGATACTTGATTTTTTCCCGTGATCTTTGAAGAATCATGGAGAACACAGAGTTGGAGTAGGGCAGACATAATCCTGATAATTTTTTTTTTAAGGCAGATACCAGTGGATTCTGCAAACTATAAGCCAGTGAGCTTGATTGTGATTCCTGGCAAAATTCTAGATTGTCTTATGAAAGGCATGGTTAGTGAAAATCTAGAAAAGGAAGTCATGATGCCAGAAAGCCAGCATGATTTCATCAAAAGCAAGCTCTGCCACACCAACACCATTTTTTCTTTCTGATAGAGTTACTAGGTTAGTAGATCAGAGCAATGCTACATACTTATATAGTTTGCCTAAATTTTTAGTGAAGCATTGGATAAAGTTTTTTGTGGACAAGATGCAGTAATAAAGGCTAGTAATGGTTGACTGTCTGGACTCAAAAAGTAGTAATTAATGGTTTGATGTCAACTTGCAAAGTTGTCCTAGGTGGAATGAATTGGGTGTCTTTGTTGCATCCCGTACCGTGACTTTTTCATCAACAATTTTAATGAAGGAAGGAAGCAAGCAAGCATTGGCCTTATACATATTATTGAATTTTATACTCACAATAACTCAGGAAAGTAGATGCTATTATTACTGTCATTTTATGGTTAAGGAAACTAAGGCAAATAGAGCTTAAGTGACTCACCTTGGATCGCACAGCTAGTTAGTATCTGAGGCTGGATTTGAACCTAGGTCTTCCTGACTCCAGGCCCAATGATCTAGCCACTGTGCCATCTAGCTGCCCCAGAAGGCATAGATGATAAAAATCCATGGGTCACAGAGATCTTGAAGGAATAAGAACTTAATAGATAACCAAGTCAGGATCCAAATAGAATCCTAATTAGTCTTCCTACCTTCAGTCTGCACCCTCTCTGATCTGTCCTCTACATAGTCACCAAAACAATCTTTCTAAAATACAGTTTTGACTCTCTCTCATGTGAGCAAAAATCTTCGGTGGTCTCCTCTTGCTCCTAGGAAAAATGCAAGCTCATCAGTATCGTTTGGCACCTAAGCTCCTTCCCAATTAGGCTCTACTCTATTTTTATTGACTAGTTTAATATGATCCCCATTAACACACCCTGTATATTGGTCCAGGATTAACACATTAACACATTAACACATTCAGCCATATTGGTCTCCTTGCCATTCCTCAGACCCATTGTTCTATTTCCTGTGTGTGCTCAGGAATGTACTCCCTTCTCACCTCTGCCTCTTAGCATCCTTAGCTTCCTTCCAGACTCAGCTCAGTTAGCATGTTCTATAAGAAGACTTTCTCTTTCTCCCATCAAATTATCTTGTATTGCGATCCCTAATTATTCTACCATATCTCACAATAGAATATAAGGTCTTTGAGGGTAGGGACTGATTTTTCTTTTTTTTTTTGCTTTGTATCTGTATCACAACTTTTTTTGTCTTTGTATCTATCACAGTTTAAATAAATGATTATTGAATTGAATGGTTGGGTTGAATCTAATAAGATGCAGTTTAGTGGGGATAAATGAAAACTTTACACTTGGATTAAAAAAATCAATTTCTCAAGTACATTGGAAAAGCTAATGCAACCTTAGATTGCACTGAGAGGCAAAGGGTCCACATGAGGGAAGTGATGCTCCTAAGTGATGCACTACTGCAGATGTGGTCTGCGCTAGTCATTCTATATCTGCAGGACTGGCTTTAGTTCTGGTCACCGCTTCTTAGGAATGAAATTGATAAGCTGAAGAATATCCAGATGAGGGCAACCGGAGTGGTGAAAGCGGCGAAAATTACTGTTATGAAGGACTGGCCAGAGGAAATGGGTATATTTAGCCTACAGAAGACTTACAGGGGACCTGACGGCTATTTTCAAATATTAGAAGGGCTGCCCTGTGTTTGCAGAATTATTAGCAGTAAGAAGAAGTTGCAGAGGGATAAATTTAGATTAGAAGCAGTTAGTTGCTTTGGGGGTAGAAGTAAGTTCTCTCTCACTGTATTTCTTCAAACTGAAACTGGATAACCACACATACATATATTATACACATATTTATGTATATGCATATATACACACATATATACATATATGTATGTGTGTGTATATCTACACACATATATAAAATAGTATATTCTTCAGGTTTAGTTGGACTGGAAGACCATAGAAATTTTTTCTGTGGTCCCATGTGCCTTGCTGTGCCATTCACTTTTCTGTCATCATTCAGCTTAAACTTAGCATGAGATGTCTTCTCCCATTCTATTCCCTTTTTTTGGTCCGGTTTCAGGGTCTCTTTTGAATACTCTGCTATTTCCTATGATTCCCATGAACGTTTTCTTGGGTCTTTCCTTTTGGTGGCTTTCTCCCTTTAGCTAGAATGTTACCTAATCCTGCTTTTAATTCTATTCTGTCCCAACAACAAAATCCAGGGATCATCTTATCTGAACTAATGTAACCTCCTCACTGGCCATGTTGACTTCAGCTTTTCTCCTCTTCAGTTAAACTATGCCTTTGCTTTCTTTAATCTTTTTATCTACAACTTTGACCATCCCTCTTCTCTTTGTCTTATTCCCACCTCTGGAAACCTCCAATCCCTTTTATTTTTCTCTTCAACTTCAAATTAGTCATTCTAACTTTCAAGGCCCTCCACCAGTCTACTTCTACCCACATGGCCCCTCTCACTTCGCTCTACTCACTGCCCACTCCCTTCACTTCAGTCAAACCTCCTGGGCCCTTTTGTTCTGTTCTCCCACTCCCACACCCATCTCCAGAGCCCTTTCCCTGCTGTTACTTATGCCTAGAATATCCTCCCACTTTATCTGTCAAGCAGCCTCCTTTCCTTCTTCCAAACCCACCCACAGACTCGTGTATTTTTGTAGGACACCCACCCCCTAAACATCCTAAATGAATCGGGGGTGGAGTAGGAGAAGAGAAGAGATGAGATTTAGAGATAGGAATTTGCGGGGGCCCTATTATTTTCCACAATCCATATATTTCTTTAAGAAAAAAAAAGAAATTGTGGGTCTTGCTATTAACACAAAAGTTTTCTGGGAACAGGGAATGTAGTTTCAATGTTTCATAAATGTAGGCATTTTTAATGGCAAAAACAATCAATAAATAAGGAAGTTATCACAAGAGCTCCCTTGATGAAGACTTTTCATTCAGGGTAGGTCATAAATTAAACAATCATTTAAAAAAAATTCCAGGTCACCTAGCAGAGTTCAGAAATCAAAGCCACAGGAGGTGCACAGATCCTTTAGAATTATCTTTCTGTTTAGCTTTGAATTAAAATGTAGACTTTTCATTATTTCTGTAAGGGCAAAGGAGTTTGGAAATAGTGAAAAGTATTCCAAGTGTTGCAACAACTTTCTGCCTAGTATCTCACTTTGGCACAAAGGTAGTTTTGTCTGGGAGAAACTTTCCTAGTGAAGCTTTGGGTGAAGCCAATAAATTCTAGGTTTTAGGAAATGGTACAAAAAACAACATTTTCAGTTTAGGTGCTAGAAGGGGGAAGGATTTTTATCACACCTCTTTGTCTCTATTTTAAATATAATCAAGATAAAGCAGGCTTTTAAAATTCTTAACAAGAATGCCCTCATTGGATTACTCATAGATATATATCTATATTTATATATGCTAAATGTAATACTTGTATTTTTAATATACAAGAGATGCACAAGTTGTCTTTTTTAAAATGAAAACTAAATCTCATTAATATTTTTGGTAATGTACTCTTAGTATGTTAATGACTTTAGTGAAAGTAAACTCTTCTCTACTTTCACTTTATTATTAGACCTACAAACCTAAACATATTCAACATCAGATCCCCCAAATTAAAAGAGACAGAAGTGTTTGGATACCTGCTGCCATTTGAATCTCTTCCAAAATCTTAAGTTTAGAGTTTCTTTGGGTTAACGCAGAATGAATTGCATTTTAAAAAATGATTTAATATAAACTTTAAAAAAAGTAACCTGGTGGTGTTCAGAATTAATAGGACTTATTTTTCATCTGTTATAATTTCAAGAAATTTACTTGTTCAGATTTCCCTAGCATTAGTGAGTTAAATATATAAATCCTCTGTGTCTTTAAAGTGAGCTAGACCCTGGTGTATCTGGCCACTGAACAAAGCTTACATACTAAACAGAATTCTAACTGCTGTGTATTTTTCACTTTTGTAATCACCAGGTTCTCTCATTCAAGTCCCTTCAGTTGAGAGGGGGAAGCTCAGTAAAGTTCGTCTGGGCTCATTGTCTTTGAAAAAAGAAGGAGAAAGACAATGCTTCTTATTTACAAAACACTTTTTAATTTGTACAAGAAGTTCAGGAGGAAAACTGCACCTGCTGAAGGTACCGTTTTTATATAACTACCTTATAAACAGTTTGCACTCCTGCAAGAATTCAGGGTTTTTTTCAAAGTGATAAAATGGCTTTCCAGCGATTGGTATTATTTCAGCAAGAATCCTCACTACAGGAGAAGTAGTGAGATAATGATTACCAGCAATACATTTTGCCTTTTTTGTTACTTGGATCCAAAATGATGGAAACTCATTTTTAAGTGTTTTTGTTAGAAAAAAGGATTAAATTTGTGGACTGGACACCAAAGATTATTATCAGTTGATGGTTCAGTGAGGCAAAATTTTGCTAAATGGTCGATTAATGTGTACCTCACATTACATCTGCAAAAAAGGGAGGAAATATCCTAAGCAAAATAGACATGATTTTTCCATTCCCTGGACTACTATAGATGAGTTGTATTGCATTGGTGAGTTGTATGGTCTTAGAAGCTGCTACCAAGGTACTACCGAATGCACTGAAACACAATTTACAAAAATTTTTCTGGTAGTTTATGTGTGAGGAAAAGAGTGACTTAGCCAATAAAGGGCCACCTCTTAGTCAAGAAGGCCTGGAGCGAAGTCTAGCCTCTCACACATGCTGTTTCTGTGACCCTGGACAAATTACATCACCTCTCAGTGCCTAAGGCGAGTGTCCAAGGCTGAACTGCAGAGCAGACTCTACTGAGGTTGTCTGGGGGGTGGGGTAAGAAGTGTTTCCTATCCTAGTGAAAAGATAACTCCATTTCCTTTCCCTAAAATATATATGGACACTGTGGGAGGGAGGAGGAGTTGGGTGGATGGGGAAGGGAAAGGGGGAAAAGAAGAGAAAATATTTCTTCCAAGTTGGTATCTTTAAAAAAAAAAATACCAAGGCAGCTAGGTGGCACAGTGAATAGAGCTCTGGCCTTGGAGTCAGGAGGACCTGAGTTCAAATCCAGCCTCAGACATTTAACACTTACTAGTTGTGTGAACCTGGGCAAGTCACTTAACCCTGATCGCCTCACCCGAAAAGCAAAAAAATAAAAAAATACCAAGTTGATGTAGACATAGATTTGAAGTATGGTATCTTCTCTCACCTGAGGCCTTCTGAAATAATAGAAATTTTAAGATCACACATAGCTTTCTAACCCTGCTGGAATCCTCTTGCTAAGAAGTGATTTGTTTCCACAGACAGGTGGTGTTCTCTCTCTCATAGAATGCACTTTGATTGAAGAACCGGATGCCAGTGAAGATGATTGTAAGTCTCAGTCGGCCGCCTAGAATGAGTTTCAGCTCAAGCTGGAGACTTTTAGAATAGTGTCCCTGTTTATATTCCATCATTGAAATGATATCCATTTTATGAGCTCTAAGAATGTGGTATACAAATAATGATGCCTTTTTCCCTCTCTGAAGACACTTAGTTTGAAAAAGCGAAAGAGATAAACTAGATTTTTTTCCCTTCTCTATTAGATGGGAGTATTATTTAACTGTATAATTTGTGCATCTTCTAGAACTATTTTGGAGTTCACATTATATTATATTTTTCTTCTGTGGCAAATTGGACCATTTTTTACAGTTAGCAGAGAAGAAAAAGAAATTGAATTGGCATATAATAATTGCACCATTTTGGGTAGCAGAAAACACCGGACCAGGAAACCAGGGAAACTGGCCATGACCCTTACCTGCTTTGTAACCTTGAACAATTCATTCATCTTCCCTGGGCCGCAGATGCCTTACCTGCTTAATGGGAATGGTAATTGTTACACTGTATCAGAGAAGTGTGTGAAAGTAAAAAAATAATCACAGGTGCAAAAACATTCATATTACTAAAGAGTGCTATACTGGCAAAGGGAGTGTTATGGTTTCTTTACCTAATAACACATTTCTTCTCTGTATTAAGTAAAAGGTTCTGGGCAAGTGTTTGGACACCTGGACTTTAAGATTGTAGTGGAACCTCCGGATTCTACTCCTTTCACCGTTGTCTTGTTAGCACCTTCTCGCCAAGAGAAAGCTGCCTGGACAAGTGACATAAGTCAGGTGAGCCAGATGCTTTTCCCACATCTGCTTTTTTATAATCTATTTGGTCATAAGACCACAAAGGGAAATTTTCAGAGATGTTGTTTAAAAATTTTTTAATATATACTCTCTCTAATTAGTCACATGACCTTGGGCAAGACAAGTAAACCTACTCTTACCTCAGTTACCTCTCTGTAAATTGAGATCATTAGAGCTGATGATCTTTAAGATCTATTCCACCTGTAAAATTCTCTGTCCCTGTAAGCTCCTTGAGAACAGGTACTGTCTTTTGCTTTTTTGTCTCCCCAGCACTTGGCACAGTGCCTGGAACATAGCAGGCACTTAATAAATGTTTGTTGATTGATTCATACATCTAGATTCTCGTAGTACCTTGTTGTATTAATATAGTGGTATTTTTTTGAAAGAGAAAAATTTACTTACAACACACTTATTGCATATTGGTCCTTGTTTATTTATGTGAAATGAAAATATAGTAATTTTATTAAGTACAGTGATTTAGGCTATCTCCCACACTTACACACACACACACACACACACACACACACACACTCACATTTTAAAAACAAGCCCAAATACTAGGTTACAGGTTATATTTGACTTCATTACATGGTGACACAATTATGATATAGTTACAACTAGAAATTGTGAATTTGGGATGTTTGGATCACATTATGACAAAGGTACTTCAAAGTTTACCTGTTATAAGGAGCTGCTTTTGTGAAGCTTTGTTAGTGGTTCAGGATTTGCACGTAAGGAAAAACTTGTGTGTTCATTAAGTGGAGAAGGAAAGCTTTAGAAAAGGCTCTTTCATATCTGAAGTAATTGATGAAGAATATTTGATTAGCCCCCAAACAGGGAGATGCAATGATTTCACAGCCTAGCTAGTTTTCATTCACTTAGGAGGCTGGATTCTCTTGAGATATTGGTTGTTAATTGATTAGGTTAAGTTCCAGATGCAAGGCATGAGAATCTAATGTTGGGAAAATATTTTTTAAAATATCACTTAAATGTTAGAGGATTAATTTCTAGGCTATAATAATGATATTGATGATTATTGTGGTCTCATAAAAGACAGAAAAATAGCGTTAATGTTGCTAAGTATTCTAGAAGCAAGTCTAGGGAAGAGCTCAAAGTATTTTTATCATATTAAAAAAGTTTAAGCAAAAAACAAAATATACTGAGTCTGCCAGATATTTTGTTGTTTTGTGAGTAGAAGCTATTAGGTAGATTTCAAAAGTGTATACTGCTGTATTAATAATCTTAATGTGCCTTCATTTCTTAGAAGCTTAAGCAACAACCTGAATGTCTGGCAGTGAAGCCAGTCCTTTTAGGACTAGAAAAAGGAACCAAAACTTGACTTCTTATAGTTCTGTTTGATCCCTTACCCAATTATTTCATTTGCTCATTCAACAAACATTTATTAAGTACCTACTGTATGCTGTTTATACTGGGCTCAGTGTGGGGAAGGTAAAATGTTTAGATAAGACAACATCCTTATGTTCATGAATCCTTTTATTGTCTTTATAAATATGCTGCCTAATTATGAAGGCGGGGTGGTAGAATAAGAACAAGGAGATAATACAATGAATTCGTATTTATAATTTTGGTAATAACAACATATTATAGACAATAGGATCAGCCTATCCAAGCAGAACCAAGGACTTGTGACCATGAAATGGAAAAGGTATTAGAACCTAAGCTGAAAACATTCTCTTATTGCTTTGAATGAGTCTGTCAGCCTAGCGTGGTCAATAGCAATAGTGCTTCTTCTGGAAGATGCATTTCAGAACTGGAGAAGGGAACTCCAGGAGGAGACATGGAGTAGGGCAATCTGGCATGGCCAAATTATGTGAGCTTCCGTCAACTATTTTTTAAGGTTGAATTACCTGAAAGATACAACCAGTAAATCTGACAAAGAAAGGTGAGACATAATTGGAGTAAGACAAAAAGAGAGGGAAAAGAAGATATGATAGAAGAAATTTCACAATTAATAGTAATAACTATCAGTATGAATGGGATGAAATCACCCATAAAATAGAAGAGTAGTAGATGGATTGGAAAACAGAGTTCAACAATATGAGTGGCTTCCAAAAACCACTCTTGAAACATAAGGATTCATGTAGTTAAAACAAGGAGCTGGAACAGTATTTCATTTTGTTTAAGGAGAGTTAAGAAAAGCAAGAGTATCAATCCTGACCTCAAAAAAGTCAAGAATAAACATCATTAAATGAGTTAAACAACAGATACTTTCATGAAAAAAATGACAATGAGAAAATGTACAAAAACTTTTGAGATGTTACCTGGACAGTCCCTAGGGGAAAGTTTATGTTTCAAAGCACTTTTATCAACCAAAAAAAAATGATAAAACAGATGAATGAATTGACTATGTAACTCAACTAGATAAAATAACAAATTGGAAAGCTCCAACAGAACACAAAAATAGAAATCCTGAAAAAAAGGTTAATAAAATTCAGAGTCAAACACCTCATTGAATTAATAAATAAAATTCATAACTGCTTTTAAAAACTAATCACATGACTAATCCATAAGTTAATCTGATTTTTAAAAGAGGAAAACCAAATTGCCAATATATAAAAAAAGAAAAACAACAACTGAAACTGAAATAAGAACTGTTATTAGAAATTATTTTACCTAATTGTATGCCAACAAAATTGGTAACAAATGAAATGGATAGATATTGACAAAAATATAAAATAGGTAGATTAGTGGACAAAATATAGAGAATTTAAATAATACGGTCTCAGAAAAGGAAATTGAACAATCTATAATTGACTCCCCCCCAAAGAACCCCAAAACTTCCAGAACCATATAGGTTTATGAGTGAATCCTATCAAACATTTAAAGAACAATTAGTTCTACTACTAGAAAAACTATTTGCAAAATCAGGGAAAAAAGGGGATTCTATCAAATGCCTTTGTGGCATTAATGTAGTCTTAATCCCTAGTCTAAGGAAAGACAAAAGAGAAAGATAAAAGCGTAGACCAATATCTCTGATGAAAACTGATATAAAAATAGTGAATAAATTATTATCAAAGAGGTTATAGCAACATATCAGAAAGAATCTATATGTTGTTCAGAAAGATTGGTTCAGTATTGGGAAAACTTTAAACATAAAATAATTAAGAGATCCAATTATTGGGTCAATAGATACAGAAAAAGCTTGCAACAAAATATACTATTTGTTTCTTTTAAAAACCTTAAAAGGCATAGGAATAAATGAGGCTTTCTTTAATATGACAAATAGCATCTATCTAAAACCGAAAGCTAACATCTGTATTGGGGGAAGACTAGAGGCCTCTCTGCAAAGATAACATCCTGAAGCCAGCCTTGGGACAAATAAGAAGAGAAGGTAGTATATTCCAGGCTAGGTGACTGCTATGGCTGGGGCCTAATTTGGAGCAAGCTTGGACATCCAGAAGCCTAGCAATGAGAGAAGAGTCCAGGATAAAAGCTTAATGAGGAGGCCTGAAGTGTGATGTACCCGTCTAAAGTTATAAAATAAATCCAGAGAAATCATAAGACTTTTTGTATTTTGACAACAAACCCAATAGGATTAACTAGAAAGAGCAATTACATTCACAATAACTATAGACTATGTAAAATATTTGGGAATCAACCTGCCAAGAAATAGAAAGGAACTATATGACTATAACTGGTGACACATTCCCAGGCTTACTTGCTCAATTTGCACTGGCACTAGCAGGTTGGGTGCCTAGACGAGTGGCTTCTGTTACTTTTAGAGGTATTAGGCTAATTCCCCCCAATCTTACAACCTTGCCTCATATTTTACAGAAAAAATAGAGGTCATTCCCCATGAGCTCCTTCTTCTCCCTTCTTTCTCATCTCTTATCATTCAGATGCTTTCTGCCAGTCTCTTCCTTCACCTGTCTCATATGATGAAGTGGCCTTAATACCTCTATTTGTTCAAGTGATCTCCTCTAACAGAGTGTCCCCACTGTCATCCCCACTCTTCCAGAATTTTCAGTCTCTCTCTGTCTACTGGAACGTTTCCTATTGACTACAAACATTCTCCTATCTCCCCATCCTAAAAAAACTCTTACCTGTGTTAACCAAAAACAGTATCACAAGTCCATGAGATATTACATTGCAACTAGATTTATTAAAAGAGAAATGAACATCAGATTCTTTTTTCACAACATGACTAATGTGGAAATATGTTTTAACATGATTGCACGTGTATAACCTATATCACATTGCTTGCTGTCTTGGGTAGAGGGAAAGGGAGAAAGGGAGGGAGGAAAATTTGGAACTCAAAATCTTATAAAAGTGAATGTTGAAAACTATCTTTACGTGTAATTGGAAAAAAATACTATTAAGTGAGGGGGAAAAAATGAACATGCATGTGAAACCCTAAGCCAGGGCAAAGAGTTTGTAATTCAAATAGAAGTTTGCATATTTATGAAATTGTCACAAAGAGAGGAGGAGGAGAAATAGAACTCTCCACCTAAATGAGAATAGCCATGGAGGAGAAATCTTGAATAATTAAGACGGCAAAAGCAGCATTCTTTTCCCTTGGGAACTGCGGGACTATGAAGATAGGATGCTTATCTACAAGGGTCCTGATGGGGTGCTTGTGTTTGGACCCCAGCCCTACAACCATATCTCTCCCCAGCCTAAAGACCCTATCTCTGACAATATCTGGTGAGTGGGCCCAGTGAGGTAAACTATTTCTCCCTGTTACGAGAACAAGCTGACCTCTGTAAAATTTTCCTTGTATGAACAGGACTGTCTTGTGCCAGCAAGATACCATGTACAGATTCCCACAGTTATTGTATATAATCCAGAGGTCAAGCTATATAAACTCCCGAGGCTATCTTATTACAGTCGTAGGTGTAAAGATGTACAGACCCCTTAAAAGCACCCACCCAGGCCTTGCCAGTAGGGAATAACGCCTGTGCCCAGGATACAGAAACTGTGTGTTACCACCTGATTAGCAGAGTTGTCAGGCAGTTCGCTAA